TAATGAATTTGTTTTCTCTTTAAATGAAGTATCGTAATGACGACATCTGCTAATTAAATGTTTTAACTTTATCACACTGTCACAAAATGTAACAAAACTTTTAGCATTCTTTTTTATATAACATATCGTAAGATACATACAATATATTTTACATTTAAGTATAACTTATTGGAAACATTTATCGAAAATGAGCCCAGCAGACAAGATGGTATAAAGCACCCCTAATAGGATCGAACAAAGCCTTCCTCTTAACTTTCAGCGTCCAAACTTCACTCTTAGTGTTTTTAATTACTCCTGATCGAAAATACGTTGCTGTCGGAAATAAGGGGTACTTTTGACCAATTCATCTTGCATAAATTTGGTCTCGCACTTCTTTGTGTTAATAAACAATTTTTATACGAACTCACAACTATTTATTTATTAAAAATAAATATTTAGAGGTGATACTTTTTTTTTTTAGTACATAAATAACTTTTAGATTCTTTGCGCTCATCAGAATACATTTCATAATGAAACATTAATAATAACTTAATAGCGTAATATTATTTTTCTTGTTAGGTATTTTATGCAGCATTTGTTTTTTTTTCTTAAAATACCGAAAAGCCATCAACAAGAATCGAAAAATAAGAATTGCTTGCATGTGCCTACAAAATAAGGCGACAAATATAACACAGAGAGAAAGACAACAACCGTTTGATTTCAAATGACTATCCTCCGCTTTGCTTCATCTGTTGTTCTAATCTAACTTTAAGCGTCATCTTTTCCTCCCTGATTTCGGCCAATTCTTGACTGAGTTCCTGACACAACCTTAATAATACGGTATTCTCTTCCTGTAATTTTTGAAACAATTCCCATTTTTCCTTATCTATTGGACTTTCTTGTTCTTTTGGTTTCCTGTATACTTCGAATGCTCCATGTTTCCTAGGTGCATCACATGATGAGTCTCTGCTGCCTTCTGTTATGGAAAACTGAGCGAATAATTTCTTACGTTCAGCTTCGTACACATCCCCAGGAAAAATTTCATCTCTAACATTTTCGTAATGTTCAGCATTATCAAACTGGTCGAAATTTGCAAAATTCGTTTCTTGTTCTAAAGTTGAAGAACAAGTGTCACCTTCAGACCTTTGATTTACCAATTTTTTGCCGTTCTGTACCCCAGGACTTACTCTGGGGGGCACAGAGGGCGGAGCACCCAAAATGTTCTTATTCAAACGGTTCAAATCTAACGAGGAACTGCGACCGTGTGACTTAAAGGGCCTTGGAGGTGGTGGAGGAGGTTTTTCTTTTTTTGGTGGTGGAAACGTTGGTAAACTAATAGGACCCTCGTCTGATTGTTGCGCTTGTAATGTGGGAGGGGGAGGGATGGCTCCGGGTCCTGGGATGTTTATTTTTTTTGGTTGAGGCCTCTGGATACCTTTTATAATGTTGTGTTGCTGTTGAGAATTGTGAAGGTGACTGGAAGAGGTGAGATTCACTGAGTCAAGGAATTTTTTTGGACTGGGGCCTTCCTGGTTGTCTTGTTGCTGACCAGGATCGTTTTGGGAGTTACTATTATCTGGAGTGAGCCTTAAAGGTTTAGGATGTAAAATTTTGGGATCACGTTCCAGCGCTCCTTTTTGAAAATCGAAATTAACTGGCTTTGGACCAGGGGATGATAGACTTTGCATGGGACTGCTTTTGTAAAATACTATCCATTCTTTAGAAGATTCTCTATTATTTTCGGGACTTGCTGATTGGGGTGTTTCATTACCTTGTGTGGTCATGTGACCAATAATTGAATTCGTTTGTTGCTCGATAGTACCTTTTACTTGTCCCTCGTAGTTTACTCCTTGTTTATGACCTGGTGATGGTAAATTACTTGGTGGGCTATCAACATTGAATACAGTCCATTCGTTCCATTCTTTAGGATTAACCTTTGTTTTAGTTTTAACTAAAGGATCTAATTGATCTGGGCTAGCTGATTTAGGTGTCTCATTACCAGGTATTAACTGCGGAGGAAGAGTGTCTGGCAGATCAATATGATTTCTACGCAATACTACTAAGTGCATCGCGATCAAAAATTCTTGTAAACTAAGAGCCCCATCTTTCGTTATATCTGCCAACTGCCAAATTTTACGTAGTTCTTGTACTGGTAATCGGGATTTTTCGAAATATAAACGGGCTATTTGTCCTGCTAATAAGGCGTTTGTGTCAGGTTGTAAAGACCGAAACTGGGCTGTGTAATATTCTCGTTGTTCTTGGGTAATTGTCCATACCTCACTGGTTATTTCTGTATCATCATCACTACTATGGCGGTCTGACGATTCTTCTTCGGTTCCTACAAAAAATAAATTGCTTAAAAATATAAAAAATGGCTGTAACAAAAACTCAAACAAAAGAAAACTTATTAGCAACAATATTACTTATTATTTTACATTACTTCTTATTAAAATTTAATATTTTTACTTAATTGTCAAACCCACCATTTAGATTCATTACAAGGAATTATTATAATGGTGATTAATATAATCAAACATATATGCAAGCTAAACATACAGACACTATAGATTTATGAAAGATTTTAGATGTATGAAGTACAATGTATAAACTTTCTATTGGTACTATTAGTTCTCTTAGTTTTGTTAGCAATGGATTTTATATGTGAATAAAAAATTGTGAGGAAATGCACCTAATAATTGTCGTTGTTCTTCAGAAACCAATCCCTGCCAATTACCACTAACTGCCCAACTTTTGTCCTGAACACTGTTAGTAGGTGTCGGACTATCAGATGCAGTACTGGAAATCTCAGGTGAGCCTCTTAAAGTATTTGTATTTAGATCACTACTTTCAACTTCAGAGTCTGTACTGGTTGTATCTGTGTGTTCTCTATATTTTTCATTTGGATCTATTTCGATTAAATCATTCAATGGACTGTGATTTTCCGAATTTGGCCATGTAAATCTAGGCAATGGTAGTTCTAAGCTGGCAGTTATTAACTCATTTGAAAGAGGAATTTTGGCTTGATAAGCTGCTACTAATTTCAGGGCAGAAAAAAAATGTATTTTATTAAGGAAATTTATGTTTGGACCCCAACACATGGAACATATCTATAAGAAAACGTTTAAATATTATGGTATGATAACAGCTTTAACGTAATCTAATTTTCATTTGCAAATAAATAAAGAAAAAAAGGCTGTTTTATGTTTAATATTAAGCAAGTACCTGTGTTACAACATCATGAGGTACATTTCCAGACCTAATCAGTTCTATTGCTTTGTTAACGTGAACTTTTCCAATTTTTTCTTCATCACAGCACACAAAAAAGTCCGAAAAATAACGCTGCAATGTGTCCGAAAGTTGTAGATCTTCCATTTTTTCGCTTGTTGATATTAATTTTTGACAGTTGAAATCGCTACACCTTACGGTACAAATGACCTATTAATGACGGCGTTTGTAAAAATTTTGCTTCATTGTAGGCAACCCAAAATAAAGCGAAATATTTGGGCTGTTTTATTCTAGGCATAAAAAAATAAAAAACCACCTATATCAAAATTATTTTGTTTAATAAACAGTTTATTATTACGTAAACCTATTTGACGCTACTTGTACTAAGTATAACACCTGGAAACTTGTTTAAAAGTTTAGCTGACGGTGACATTCCGAATTTACATAAATATTTTATGATTTGTTTATTCCAAACATTACAGCAGAAAGTTTTACTTTTAAGTTAAAGGAATATGCTTGTAAGATCAGTAGCGCATTAAATTAACAAGCGAAACGATTTTAAAAATAGTGATTAACATTTTCGATGCGCGATTCAAAAAATAGAAAAAAAATTGGCATAAAAAACAGTTATCTATTTTACATAATTGTACTGAAAACGTTCCCCATGTTCGTTATTATTGGTTATTTTTTTAATAATATTGTTTATTAAACAAATGTGCAAAAGTATCTAGTAATTAGTTTTTGTAATTTTCCGGGTAGGTAAGAGTTATCTTGATAAATCCAATATAAAATAATATAAAAAGCAATAACTTTTCAGTTAAGAAAGGAAGTGGCAATTCATTTATATAGGACATTTTTGTAGTGTACGCTTTTATTTTGAGAATGAATCGTAATAAAAGTAATTGCTAACAATAAGTACTTTAGTGGGTCAGGGCCGGACTGTATCATTTTTTTAAATCTGCTTCTACACTCACTGATTATGCTTCGTAATAGAAACGTGGGTGCCTTTTATTATATTTTGAAAAATATAAACAATAATGGTTATAATTGTTGTGTTAAAGGCATTATATAAATAATACGACAATCAGGTGGAAAAGTAATTACTAATTAGTAATTAAACAGTTATTTATTTAAAAACATGTTTACTGTTAACTCTTCAAATGTGGCATTCTAGCCTTGTTTATTGTTGCAAATATCAAGTAGGTACATATGTACCAAATTTTAATTTTTTGTGTCTTTATTAACGGTTCCTAAAAGTTCATAGAGTGAGTTTTTTTACTAAAGACTATTATTAAACGTATACCTATAAAATAATCGTGAAGATATACTTCAGTTAGAAATAAACTATTGCTTTGCTAAAAACAAGTGTTTAAAAGTGGTTTTTTTGATTTATTAAAAAAGAAAATGGATGAAAAAGATCTTCAGCTTGCGAGAGCGATGGTGGCTGCTGAATTAGAGGAAAGACAGCAAGGTGATAGTTTTTTCATATCTCCTAAGAGGTCTTTGGACGATTCCGAAGCAAAATTAAAAGCTTTTAGGTAAGATTAATTGTTTTTACAAGCGTTAAGAAGTTTAATACGAGTATTTTCTCTATTGATACTATTTTCTTTAAAATTATGTATATTAAATTATTAAGTAAATAATATACCGTTTCAAATATGTAAACAATTTCAAAAATGGTTATTTTATCGTTTCCTGTTACTAATAGTTTATAAGCACTCAGTTGTAGAGGCCCGGGTAGCTCAGTCGGTAGAGCATTGGACTTTTAATCCAAGGGTCCAGGGTTCAAGTCCCTGCTCGGGCGACATTACTTTTTAGATATTAATTTTTTTTCTTAATTAGACTAATTTGAAAGAAAAATGTAATTATAGAAACTTGCGAATGACGGTTTTAATTGAATATTAATACTTATCTGAGTTGTCAAAGTACCAATTTTTATGTAAGCATGTACTGTGAGAAGTGACACTTGGTTTGATTGCCTCACATGGTTTTTATTTTTTGCAGAAAATTGCTGTTAACAGTTTATCAGTGTTACCTGAATGTATTTCTACATTTCGCAGCTAGTTCTTAAACGATTTACATGTATTAAAAGTACAAATCAGTTA